GGGAAGAAAGCTGTAGATAGTTTGCTGCTACACAGCCTCGCAACCAGTTCTCAATATTTGGGTTGAAACCCGGCATTATTCATGACTCAGCCGTTGCAATTTATTGGGAAGTTCAGCACGAGCGCTAAGGTAGGTAGGGTTCCACCTGATTAGTATCCTTCCTTGCCGATTGGATTAGTAGCCTAAAGGTTACCTTTTTCAGATGATTTACTCCATCCCGGAACGTTACAATCTCCAACTGAAATTTTTTTGATGGCATGATCACACCATGCCTAGAGAAGCTAGAGCCTCGCCGTAAATCAGTCTCTCTTTAGGATGCGCCAAGAAAGTCTTCTTCGTAGAGAATCCTAGCGCGAGCCAATGATGCGCTTCTAGCCTTTCTGCCTCATTTTCTTTTGAATGTTTCGCATGAAGCTAGTTCATAACGCAACAAATATTTTATTATATACATAATAAAATCATCAAAGAGAAATCACGATTTTCACTGCATTATCTAACACCTAAAGTGGATATAGACAGCGTGACGGCGAAATCGTCGTACACACTCGCATGACCAGACTATTTGAACAAAGAGCGTATCACTCGGCAAGAAAGAACAGGCTGATTAAGTATTTTTCACAGGGAATGAGATCGGAAAACGGGGTATAGAGCCCAATATTATGGACGATAAACGAAGGAAAAATGTGAAGGGCACAGGATAATGCAGTAAGGAAATGAAAGAATATGATAAAGGACCTACCATTGGCTAGTGATAGACCGAATACAGAAATCAAAAATAATGGATGCATGAATGATAAGGGGGGAGAGGAACCGGCTGGAGAAGTCGGTTGGGGAAGAGGGCACCAATCGAGCTAAGGACGGGCGAGAGAGAAAGTTGAGGACAGTCACTCCGTGGTCAGTGAAATCTCGTAGACACTATGACCTCATTTGAACAGCAATTATCGACGCGTACCGAATGACTGTCCCCGAACCTCATTATAACTGAACAACGGGAGAAAATGGAAGCCACCGGTGGCCGGCGAAGAAGATCCCGTAGGAAGAGAAACCGGATTTGTGCGCGCGACTCCCGAGTGACATCACCTCCCCAATGCGAGGTAGCACACATGTAGGGAAAGCGACGCAAATGAAAGACGTACAGACACCGCGTTGTAGGAGATGGTCCGTGAACACACCAAATGGCCTGTCGCAGACAACACGTGCAACGACTCAGTGCGGTATACCGAGTGCAATAAATTAACTAACGGGTCTCGTTGAACGGCCCACTGAGCTCCCGGCAAAAATCGCGCGAAGTCTTCAGAGTAGTAAGGGCAAGAATATACAATACAAACGAATGGTTAGACCAACATTGACTCTGACTTGACTTCGACTTTGAAAGGAAGTGTGGTTTGGCTAGATATTGGCAGGCCAGGCATGAGACCAGTGGGGAAGAAACTGTCGAGGAACGACGAATGCAAGGGTGTTGGCTGTGGTAGCGGAGCCACGGCTGGCGGATTCAGTGCTGAGACGTTCTGGCTGAGTAGCGACAGCAGAACGTCGTTGTTCTGTAGCTGCTGGATGAGCAGTTGAGTGTTCAACAGTTGCTGTGACAAAAGATTAGGAAGTGGAAGCAGCTGTGGGTTCAGACCATTGTCTACTAGACCTGAAAAGGGCATTGAATCAAACCCTACTCATTCAAGATCGGGAGATGGACAAGAGAACCATAATTTGCCGCGCCTTCGCACGCGGCGCACCGTCTGGCTATGAGCGCGGGAAATTTCCATTGTGGGCGTCAGGCGACGATGGCGCGGGAAATTCAAACTAGGCGTCACCTTCTCGACTGGGGTAACGAAACTCGTGGAAATCATTGTAATTTTTTTATGTTTTCCATATTTCCGCACATATTTCACGTGTTTTTGGCCATTTCCTACACCGTCTATTGCTATCATGGCTGGCGATATGGAGCACTAAATTACCTCAGCACCTTCAGAAGTAGCACCACTTCCCGTCCCTTTAATACTATTCGAATAGGTGGGCAGGAAAACTGGCTTTTCGCGGCGCGGCGTCGCCCATCACGCATGTCGCGCGGCAAATTACGATACTCTTGTCATATACCCTACCCTATGCACCATAATGTTTACCTTTCAGCGCTGCCATACTATGGTCAAGCACTGGTTCGACGGGCTTCGCATATGATGGTGGATAAAAAGCTGAAAATGCTTCGGGCATTGCAACATCTGGATGACTCGGCGGCTTAGAAGCCACCAGCGGTCCAAAGTCAGGAGGAGTTGGCTGCAAAGGTAAATTATCAGTAGTGCAGTGGCGGAGGAATTCCAGCAAAACACCTACATACCTCGAGAGCACGGAAAGGCACTGTAGTAGGCGAGGTGCTGATAGTGGTCGAAGGCTGAATTCCATACGACGATGTGGGGAGTTTGTTGAGGATGTCAGGGACACTCCAATGACTGTAACCGGGCATCGTTACAGCAGTGCCAACGCTAACCGGAGTAGAAGTGCCTGCAATAAATAAGTAATTTGTGGCGTCCTTCCTGGTAAATGTAGTCTGGTCCCTAGTCTTCAAAATCAACTCACTTATGTGGCCTCACAATAAGTAACGGAGGCGCTACGACCGTAAAAAGTGGCAATTAGGAGTGGATGCTTCCCTAGTAGTCCCGCCCACCGATACTGAAGGGCAACTTCTGTCCCGATCTCAGTTTTTACCGTGTTTGTCGTTTTTTTTTCTCACTGTGAGATAGTATTGGCATTTTATGACACGAAGAAATGATTAGTGAGCTAGGGGCGGCAGGATATCGCTTTTGGTGGTATAAAACGAGCAGGTCCGGAAAGCTCGTCCAGAGAAGCTGAGAGGCCCCCTACTTAGGGTGTTCTCCATGATTCTTTTTCGAGAAAAAGCGAGAAAAATTCGCCACTAATCCCTACGTTTTTCATCTGGTGGAGCATTGAAGAACTAGTGCTCCACAAGGCAGTTAAAGGTAAAGGTTTTGAAATTTGAATTGTACGCTCTTTTCCATGGACCTGGTCCTCGCCGTGTGTGTGTGATGAATGCGTCCGCAGCTGCGTACTGTGCCACTCGCTTCGGTCAAAAATGCACCGAAACGAGGCTAAAGGGTAGTAATACCCGAATGCCATCTTCATACTTCGGCCCGCACCGCCGCATGGCAAGCCGTGCGCCTGACCGTAGCCAAACGCGCTACTTGTTTGCACCCTCTCGCTTCTGGTTGTTCTCTACCGCTGAGGGATTTATACGAAGCGTCTGCGGTGCTTCATGGATATATAAGTACTTACATGCAGCTGTACCCTACCGTAGTAATTACTGGCACGATGTTAGAGGAAAACTCGTCCGAAAATGCATTCTGACTCGCGTAGAACAGAGGCTTTTTGGCAGGTTTCGACCGTTTCACTTCGCACTTTCGCCATATTCCGACTTAAAACACCCCTGCTACCATTTTAGGCTGTGACTAAACTATCGTGCCAACTTTCTTTGATGTCGACAGAAGTTGAGGATAGCGCGAAATGTAAGGAGACAGCATCTTGGCATCACTACCCTCGTGCCCCTTTCCGTGCACATTCGATCAGAGAATGTGGCACGCTACCGCAGCTGCGGATCCTTGTACGGGGCAAGAAAAGTGCTTGGAAGTGTACAGTTTTTCAAAGACGCTGACAATCCATGGAATTTGTCTCAGTTAGAGTAGCCTTTACAATTGCCTACATATGGTCCGTACCGCACCTACCAGCACTCACTGTATAGATATTCGGCAGTGACATGTCGATTTTGCGAGTGCTATCCGAACTGTCCGAGTCGGTGTCCACGTTCACTGGACTCTCCGACTGTCGCGCCGCTGCCCTGATAAAGCTTCGCACTGCTCCAAATGAATCTTCAGACCGACCTTTTGGGCGTAACTCTTCCCACATGCACTGCACGAGTATCTGCAATAGATAACAGTTTATCCTTGCCGTTCTTCTCCACTTTTGTAACTTACGGTTTCTCGCCAGTATGCACCCGTTGGTGCACTTGCATATTTCCTTGGTTTGTGAAACATTTATCGCAGAATTGACATCTGTAAAATGAGTATGTACTGGTCGCGGTAAAAGCGGTTAAGAAAGTGAACAGTAGTGGCGATTTGGACTTCAACCAATTCCCCTTTCTACGTTTGATTGCTTTCTAGGGGGCAACAAATAACCAAAATCAAGCATGATAATACTGTAATGATGAAGCAGATGGCAATGCAGTGGTAAATGTTAGCTGCCTTGACCACCTTCACGGTCGGATCCCCGACCAGCCTTCCTAGGCAAACTGAGCCTCCTTTGCTACGAGGACTGTAAATTGGTACTAGCGTCATCAGGGATGGTCAAAGTGATTATCAATAGTCAATGGTCTGTGCGTTGGCTGAACCCCCTATCGATGCAGCATCATTCAAAAGGTCTTTTCAATTCTGAATAGTAATATACTCTAGTTCGCAGCGAATGAAGGAGCGTGCCAGGAGGGATGAGTTTTTCGCAGTGCCTCAAACCCGTTTAGCCGTTCAGCAGCTGTTGAAGTGAGCAAGTGAGGAAGAACTGTATCATATCATTCCTGTTGATGCATACTCGCTTCAACAACTGGCAGAGAACGGTCTTGGCGTCGCGGAACCAGGTAAAGCATTGTGATCTGTGAAATTGTGTCAGCCCCTCCTGAAGAGAGCCTTGGTTCGACTCCCCTTCCCCAACACCCGGCTACCACTTCTCTACAAGTTCCCAGCTTTCTACCATTTTTTCTCCGAAATTTCCCACATTTTCAAGTCTTTCACAAAAAATCGCGGGAGGGGGATCAAAATCTTCATATCTGTGCCTCAACGAAAGATCTTTCCTTGGTCCTACTGCGATAGGGGTATCACATACGTCATTTTCCTCGGTCCAGAGCATAAAGAGGGCGGTTCGGCTAAAAAATGAGTGCCACAATTGCACTCAGACCTCCATATACCCCTGCATGTAGAGCTTTTTCATCAGTACGACCTTTCTCTTGTCCCCACTAACCTCAGTAGGACCCCACCTGATAATTCTTTACGGTCGTTACCTCGAAATTTTTTCGGACAACAAGAGAAAGGAAGGGAAGTACACCCTCGCAGTCACACTAGGAGAAGGTAGCATTTTCACTGACTATGGAAAAGAGGACAGTCAGCCCTGAAATCTCGAGCTGGGGTCCGACCTCTTCGGGAGTCCCTTTAAAATGATGTGTTATGCTCCCCATTCAACCCAAAGATGATGGATAAAGCTCATACTAATAAGCAGTTACTGCACACCATTTCTTATACTCGACCACTACCAGTACCGTGCTTTTTGAGGCGGTTTGGCTACTCTACTCATGTGACGACCCAGAAACTTCCCGTCAGAATGACCTGGCTCCCGATGTGGAGGGAATTTCTGCCTTTAAAGGGTGCAGGAGTTGCACAAAAGCTTATACAGTAGCTAGCCTGCACCATGCCAGATTTTGCTCTGTCTTGAGAATCAGCCGAAAATGCGGTCTAGGGGAATCTTATCTCTTGTTAAAAACTAGTTTCACCTAGACTTATGCTTGCCGGTGCGATTCTGGGACCCTAATATCTTTTCTTACCTATTACAGTACCACAACTCTAGGGATTTTTCACACAAAGAGGTGGGTTTTTAGGATGGGTTCCCGTGTAGGGCAACTGAAAATTCAGGTGAAGTGCTGGTGGCAGCCTTTTACATGGCAGAATTTTAATGACGCGCTTCGGACACCAGGGAACAGTAGGTGCCAACCAGTAGCAGGTACGACTTTTTTTGGGCGGAAATAAAGGGATTAGTTGTGAAATTGCCTATTCAGAGACGGCTACAGAGTGTGCGAATATGTGGCAAGCTCCTAGCAAAGACATTGGGATATTTTCCAGGCCCAACAAGGAAGTGAATAGACAGAGGGGAGTAGCGCATCGCCTAGATCTACCTAAACGGTCGCTCTCCAGTATGTAGTCTGGTGTGCACGTACAAGCTGCTAGCGTAGGCGTATCGCTTGCCGCAGAACTTGCACACGTAGTCGGCAGCGATGGTCTTCTTGTCGGTTGGTGGAGCTGCACCCGCTGGAGCTTGTTGTATCGACGACGACGAATTGTCGGTAGAAGAAGACAGCAACGAGGCGTGTGTGGCTTCATGTGCAATCAGCTGTGACTTCTGAAAGAAAACTCAAATAACATTCACTTTGATCACACGCCTTCAATCAAACTTTTGAAAAACACTGCTGTATTCTCTGAGTGAAGCTTCTTCTAAGTGGAGGTTTTTTAGGAGAAAAGGAAGTCCAAATAAGAATAAGTCTGTAGTTTAGAAAGTTTCTCTCGAAAGAAAGTGATGTGAGGTCTCTGCAGCGCGTACACACTTCGTACCTTCCAATCATATGGATCGCGCGATCGAATTTCTCAAGTGATTGGTTCGCGCGACCACTACCATAGGCGCTCCGCTGCCAATCGGTGGACCATTGCAACGGCACAACTCGACTAGGCTGTATCCGTGCTTGTGACAGCGACTTCGACTTCGCGATGACGTGCATCAACGCTCTATATTTGCAACAGTGGTCCAAAGCTAAGGACGCGAACGCAAAAGCAGACGGAAATCGATCAGCGTCGCTTATGCTTTGAGAAAGTATGGGGAAATAGGATGGTACGTATTACCAGCCACGCAGAGTGGTATCGATCGGCATTGGCCGCCTAATTCTGTTCACTTCTCAAGCTTTGGAGCGATGTTGCAATTGCAGCGCGTCGACGCGCGTTACAGCACATTACAGCGCGTCGACGCGCGTCATCGCAAAGTCTGAACGTTGCCCAGGAATGGAAAGCGTTATCAGTAATTCTCGCACGAAGGAAGAGGTGACTGTTTTTATTAAAATCTGAAAAGAGCCCCCTGGCTTGTAGAATATTTCAGATCACTGGCAAGATTCTTGCGCATTTGAAGAGAGGGTAAGCTACCGCAGATGTGACATGGAGATTGAGTTCCTTATCAAAACAGATCAACCCCAACATTATCCCTTCGACGTTAAATGCTACTGAACGTGTGGCAGTGAGAGAAGCGCTATCTGTCCATGAGCTCATGCTCACTAGTTGTAAAGCTGATAGCATACAAAAACCGCAAGTTTCGGAAGAAAGTCATATGCGTGGGGCATCTAAAAGGCGCCCTCCTCCCCAATGTTTTTTCCCTCTGAGAAAAATTCCGAGACACGCATCTCGGTAACTTTTTCAATATTTCAAGAACTTTCCTAATGGCAAGGATTCAGTTCATGCGATATCGCTGAGATAGAATACGTAAAGATCAATTTTATTCCCATTGAAAATATTTTCATGTTAGATGAATGCACTATTCAAATGTTAATTGTAAAACGAAATTCCAACGGAGAAACAACAAAACCAAAAGTGCATTTGTACTTCCGTCGCACGACGAAAGTGCAAGGAAATGGTCGTCATAAGCGTGTGATAAGGGCAAAAAAAAGAAAAAAAAACGATGAAAGCTAAGAAGAACGCGTGCAGAAACCGCAAGCTATCGAATGTCGAATAGTTCGTACCAGGTCGTATGAAGCACTGAGGAATTTGACTCCAGCGTCTTCGTTTCACAATGGTCGTCGTATAGATCGACTTATTGCTATGCAAAACAGGGCGCTAATGATTCATCCCTATTTAGAGAGTAACCAAATTTTTTGCGGACCACGACAATGGTGCAAGAAAATGTCGCCTGCACCGTTTTCAGCACTTGTTCGGCAGCCAATGTCAAGGTTTAGATGCCCCTTTCGCTGGTTACCCCTTACTGACACTCCTACAAGAGAGATAGGCGGAAAGACCCAATTTGGAAAACATGGTGCTCCTCTTAAACGATACTTAAGAGCTTCTTGAATTGCTTGGCATTCTGAGTTGGTGATTCGGGTACACTGTTTCTGACGTGATTCAGCTCTGGCCCATCCAAATTAAAAGGGAGACGGTAAAGAGGATCGTAATTCGCCGCACCGCCACGCGCGGCGATGGGCGCGGCGTTTTCATAACTCGTTTTAACCTGTCGAATGGAGCACCGGACTTCATGTAGACCCCGTCATCGTAGACACTCATTACTGTTTTCGGTCCTTAATTGCATGTTGTCGCCATCTACTGCCTGAATCGTCCTTTGCGGGCGGGACG